TAAATAAAAATATTTTTCAAAACAAACAAAAAATGTTTGCTGGCAGAAATTTTTTTAAAACTGCATAAAAAATTTAAAAAATGGGAAAACAAAATCTATTTAATAACAATTTCAAATAAAACTTTAATAAGCTTAATATTTATAATTATTCAAATTATCTAGAGTATATAAAAATAGTATTTTTTATAAAAAAAAACTATTAAAATAATTTAAAAGAAATAAATATGCAAATAATGAAATATCTTTAAAAATGGCATAAACCATGCCTTCAATAAATAGAATATTTTTAGAAAATATATTAGATTTAGGATTTGTTCTTGATAAAGAAGATAGTAAAAATATATAAATAGTTTTTTTATATTTTATTTTTTAATTAATAAAAGATGATGATAGTGATGATGATATTCTGTAAATAAAATATAAATATATATAAATATATATATATATATATATATTTTATTTATTTTAAAGCTTAACAATTTCACGCCAAGTAATACAGGTTATTTGATATAATGTATAGATATAAAATTAAAAAAAATATTTATAAAAGATATATATAATTTATTTTGAAAATAAAAATAATTTTAAATAAAATATATTATTTTATATTAGAAATATATTTTCTAAAATTTAATTTTTATATATAAAAATAACAGAATAAAACTATATATTTTATATTTATAATTGAAAAAATAAAATAATATTATAATATTTTTTTTAAAATAATAATGCAAATAATATATTAATTAATTTTTTTATTTTTGTATTTAAATATTTTGAGTATAACTTAATATTAAATTAAAAAAAGAAATAAATTTAAAATAAAATTATTTTTAAATATATTAATAAAATTAAATATGTATAAATATATATAAATATACATATATTTATATATCAATATATATATTCTTTTATATATTTATTTATATGTATATTGTATATTATTATTTAAATAAAAAAAACTGTTTTCAATAAAAGTATATAATATTTATTTTTCTATTAATAATTTAAAAAATAAATAATATTTAAAAATGGAAATAAAATAATAATATTAGTCTTCATTTTATGATGAACCTGAATTGTCTTTTAAATTAAAGCAAAAAAGTATTAACATAGTCTAAAAATTGAGTATAGTATCCATTATATTCTCCATAAGTGTATTAATACTTCCATTTTTTTATTTCCTGACATATCTAAATACTAGAAATATTCTCTAATTATAATAGGTGGTGTAAGTAATCTAATTTTGTCAACAATAGCTATAATATGGTCTTATTCAAGGAAAATTATAAATCAAGAAATATCTATTTACGGTTCTTAATATGATGAATAAGACATAACAGTTTATTATAATCCGATCGGTGAAACAATATTTGGATACGGATGTTTATAAATAATGCTTAATACAATACTTGTATTATAAATTTTTGTTTTTTAAGAATATGATATTAATTTATAAATATTAAATAATAATAGTAATTATGATTAAATAGTAAATAGTTTTTTTATTTATAATTTAATTTTCGCTTTTTTGCTTTTTATAATATCAATATTTATATCTTTTTTTATATATTCCACATATCATTGCTCTTTGTCACTGAAAACTTTAAGATATTTTGATTATTTTTATAATGTATGATATATATTAATATAAAAATATATATTAATTATTTATATATATAAATATAAATATATTATTTTTTTATTTAATTTATATATTTATATATATTTTTATATAATAATTATTTTTTTTTATATTTTTTTTTTTAGTTTTTATGGAGTTTTTTATGTGTTTTTGGATTTTTTGTTTTCTACTAAAATTATTAATTGTATAATGAATATAATATTTATAAATCTTTTTTTTCAGAAAATTAATTAAATGTTATTTTTTGGATATTTATTAGTACCTGTGTTTTCTCTTTTCTTACATATTTCATTTTATTTTTAAAAAGAAGAACTTTCCATTTTGTTTATGGAACTTTCCTTTTATTGATTGTTACCCTTTTGGCTGGATATTCTCATTATTTGGTTAGAAATACCTAATAAAATAAGTTTTAATTAAATCAAAACTGTCCATAGAACCTTGATTAAGTATCTAGAAGATAATTAAGTGCATTAGGTTGTGAAAAATACTTAATTTAAGTAGATAAAAGTTACAATCAAAGTTGTATTAAAGAAAATAAAAACCTTTATGTTTTCGCTTGGGAGGATAAAATTGAAAAAGGACATAAAATAGAAGGAAATGAGAAACATAATGCCTGTTTAAATATAAATTGTTGCAATATTATGAATAATAAATACTTATATTAATCATATTAATTACCTTATGTAATAATTTTATTAACTTTTGTTGGATTTTTATTAACATTTGTACACTTTTAACTTTCAAGAAAAGAGAAAAACTTCAATTTAGATAAAAGTATCCATGAAATAAAATTTATAGATATTTTAGTATTCGTTTTATTATTAATTTTTATATTTTCAGGCTTTTTTATATCAAAAAATATTGAAAAACCATAAGTTCTAGAGACTAAAAATTTGAATAAAATTAATTTTTTATAATAAAAAACAAATTTTTTATAAGAAAATACTGATTAAGATTTGATTTTTTATGAAAATAAATATAATTTAAAAGGCTTATTTAATTAAAATATATAAACTGCAAAGAATAAAATATTTGAAACAGAATGTTAATTATTAAAAAATTTAATTTCCGATTCAAAATTTAAAGGTACTTTCGACTTTGATATAGGAAAAACTGACAATATAAAATAATAAGGCATCCGAGTGAGTATTTTGGCACCTTCAGGTTATTTCACGTATGAAAATAAAAACTCAGAAAAGTTATTTTTTGCTAAAACAAATAATATAATGCTTGAAATTTTCGATTTTTTAAAGAAAAATCCCCTAAATAAAAAAATACCTTTTATTTCATTAATTGGTTTCCCAAAAGATGTAAATGAATTTCTTAATTAAGAATTATATTATTGTGGCTCAAATCCTAAAAATATTCCATATTTTTTAATTGAAAATTATGTCACTAATATGCCTTCTTTATTATTGAATAATTCCGGTTCTTTTTTATCAAAAAAGTCATCTTATTTTAAATTCTATAATATTAAAAAAAAACTATTCTTCAATAATAATTATAATAGTATTCTTTTTTAATCATTATAATAAGAAAAAAAATAAGCCAACGAGGATTGTAATTAATAATTAAAATAAGAATAATTAAGATAAGAAAAATGCTTTTATTTATAAGGAGAAGTAGATACTAGAAAGGGTTCTTTTTCTTTTATTACAAAACCTGAGTTAAAAAAAGAATTCCCTAAATAAAATATATTAGGTAAAATAACAGTTCTTGATAATGATAAATATATTCCTGTTTGTAATTAGAATGTTTAAATTAAAGTCTTGAACGAAGTTGGGGAAGAAACAGAACTTGCATCAGGTAAAACTGATAATATAAATGGAATTTTTAAAATAAATTCGCCTGTATTGAATAATTAATAAGAGTTTTAAGCTATTTTATATATTAATAACGAATAATTTTAACCTGTAAGTAGAAAATTCTAAATAGGAGGAATTAATGATGATATAGATATGAATTTAGGAGTTATGCATTTGACTAACTTTTTCGGAAAAAATGATTTAAATCCATAATTTAAATGTAAACCCAATACAAGGCTTTTTTTCAAAAAGAAAAATTAATAAAAATCCTAAAAAAAAAAATATATATAAAAAAAAGAATAAAACAAAAATATATAAAAGAATGGGTAAAACAACAATAATGCTTAATAAGAAGAAATAAATGAAAAAAATAATAATATATACTAAAAGGAAAAATTTTAAAAAATAAATAATGCTTGTAATGATTATTAGACTTTAAAAAATTTAAACGATAGATATTGTCCTTTAGAGTAATTATATTTAGCAGAAAAATAAAAAATACCCCAATAATTAATATATTAACAAGAAAAAAAGTTAACTGATGATGAAAAAAATAAACTAATACAAGATATAAAATTCAAAACAATCCAAATATAAGTCTTAGACATAATCTAAAACACAAAGGGTTAATCTGCATTAGTTCATTTATATAAAAACCATATAAATTGCTAAAACAGAATTTAAGAAAAGCCTCATTTTATCAGCTAAACTAATGACTAGGGAGTTTTGAAAATTTACAATTAGAATTTAGGAGATTATACTTTACAAATATAAATGAATGAAGAATATCATTTATATTGTAAATAATTTAGTCTCTAAAATATAAAAGAGGATATATTAACCATAAATGCCATTATAGTAAAAAAAGAAGATAAAAAAGGACGAGGAGTAATAATTCTTGAACATTCTTAATAAAATCCAGGCGTGGCTTTAGGAATGAGTAGTATAATAGATGAAAATAGGGAATGTTTAGTATCTTTCATTAATAGAAAATGTGCTGATTTTTAATATTTTAAACATTAATTCGGATAGGCGATTACTTTTGATTATACTTTGAAAAAAAATCACCTTTTTTTTGTCACTAAAATTTAATTAAATGAATCAGAGTAGGAATTAGCAGAAAATATAAAAGGAAATATCAAAAATAAAGATTAATTAAGTTTTGATAATAATAAAGATTTCCTTTAATCAGAACTTTTATTAAAAGTCTATTTACCAGAAAATGAATATGAATAATTCTTATTTTACCCACCTTTAGTATTAAATTAAGAATAAAATAATCAAAGTAATTTAACTTGGATGAGCTTTTGTTTTAACGGAGAATTAGGACTTATTAGTTCAAAACCAGTTAATGATTTTTATAAAATATAAGGAAATAATAATAAAAAGAAAGTATTTCCAAGTAGTAATTTTTGTAATGAATTTTATAAAAAATATAAGAAATAATCAGATTTATGATTTTTTTATTATTTATGTTCTTTTTATATTTTATTATTTATTAAATTTTTATTTTTTATAAATAAATAAATAAAATAATTTATAAATATTATTCATTTTATCTTAAAATTAATTTTAAAATTGTCTTTTTTATTTTTCATTATTTTCTCAAAATCATTAGGATCAATTTTTTTTTTAATGATTTAAAATATAAAAGGGGGAAGCCAACAAACAAAAACAATAATACATAGTTTAAGAATAAAATCTATATCCCATTCACTAATAATTATATAATTTTTTAAAAAAACTAAAGTTAAGCTATATATTCCAATAGAACATAAAATCGAAATAATCATAACAATATGAATTTTATGAATCTATATAGAAAAAAAAAATATGTATAATATATGTATATATATATAATATAAATACTGATGTTAATATATTTAAAAGTTCCAAAATTATTAAAGCTGAATAAGTAATAGTTTAAATTGAAATAAATGCATCATTAAAAATAAGAAAAGAAAGTATCATAATACAAGTACCCTAAATATATGTGTAAATATATATAATAATATATTATCTATATATCATATTTTTATATCTATATACCTAATAAATACTAATAAATATCCAACCAAGAAATGATTTAGTATTTAATTCTCTATTTTTTTACAAACTTTTATATAAAGGAGGCTTTATATAATTTTATTATAAATATATAATATAAAATAAAAAAAACATAATTCATAGCTGTGATTTCATCCACATCTTCGTCAAAAATAAGTGAAAATACTGGAAACATTGTAAAAATAGTTGAATATCCTAACATTAAAATACCATTATATATCGGAATAGGAACAAAGAAGAAACAAATGATAAAAATAGCTTAAATAACAGAAATAATAAGTCCCCTATGTATAACAAACTAAGATAAAACCGAACTTCTCTTATAACTTTACCTCCCATGCCACAAAAGTAATCTATTTAAATATTTAAATTAAAAAATTGAAAAATCCGCAGCTAAAGCAGCCTACATACCTTCTTTACCCACAATGCCTATGCCAACATCTGCACTTTAAATCATTGCGACATCATTTCCACCATCTCCTATGGCTGCAGTTTTTTGTCTTGTATATTTTTTTATACATTTAACTATTTCAGATTTTTATGTTGGAGAGCACCTTTTTAAATATTATAATATTTTTTTTTAAAAAAAAATATATCACCTACAACAAACAACAGCTGGGGCTTTAGAAGTTGCTCTAAAAAATAATTCTTCATATGATTATATAGCCAATTTTAAAGAAATACCATCAATAATTAATATACAATTATTAAAGGTCTCAAATCTATTAATCTCGTTTTATAAAATCAAAGGGTCTTCTATTTCTTTTATTAAATATTTATTCTATTATTAACTTTTTAAACCAGAAGAAATAGCAACACATACAGCTGTTTCAATCTAAAAATTAAATAACATTTATAAATATACAAATACATATACATATACAAATGCTTATACATATACATATATTTATATTACTTTGTCTCCAGTAAGCATCCATATTTTTATTCCAGCATTTCTTAAAGATTCAAGTGTATTACAAATATCTTCTTATAGTTTATCTTCTACACCTGTTATACCCAAAAATTCCATATTCTTTTCTATTTAAATTAATACTTCTTATATTTTCTCATCTCTGTTAACTAAACATTAACGAGCTTCTTCATATTATAAATTCCATTAATTAAATTCTTTTTCAGTTAAGTACTTTTAACATATAACTAATGTTCTTAAACCTTCACTAGATAAATTTTCTGATTCATCTAATAAAAAACCTCTTTAATATTCAGGTATCTTTAAATAGTTTTAAATAAATATATAAATATAAAATTAATAAATAAAACATTTTTACTTTACTTTTCATAATTGTATCAGCTCCTTTTAAATAAAAAATGTATCTATTAGTCTCTATTTATTTAACAACGATTCCCATTCTCTTACTCTCACTAGAAAATGGAAAATTTGCTAAAACTTTATAATTTTCATAATCTCCATTACCATTTTTTAATGTTATTAACTCCTAAGTTCTTTTATCTAATGAAACACCCATACTTTCTGCTATTTTAACCAACGCAACCTCATCAGGCGAACTAGCCTGATAATTTTTATCTTTTCCATCTTCATAAATAGGTATTACATTATGACAAACAGCCAAAGCAGTAATTAAATCTCTTAAAATAGCATCTTTATCTCTTCTAATATTTTTAATTTTTCCTACTTTATTATTATTAATATTAAATTATTAATCATTCTATTAGTTATTATATAATTATTGAATATCCCACATCGGTCCTAATCTATAAAAAAAATATAATTAATTATTTATTAATTTTTTTTTTTACTATTTTTCACATTATTCCTTTACAACATTTGAAATAAAAGAAATTTCTTCTGAAGTAAAAACACCTTATTCTAGTGACAATTTTTTAAAAATCATATAATTTTAAGTTAATGTTCCAGTTTTATCAGTTAAAAGAAATTTAATTCGCCCTAATTCTTCTGGAATTTAGCTTGATCTAGATACTGTACCTGGTATTTGATTATCAACATTAATTTTATAACAATAAATAAGTTTCGCGAAATCCAAATTAACTCTCATAGAAATCGGTATTATACTACTCAAAAGTAGAACATATCTAAAAATTATTACTATAGTACTGAATTCAGTAATAATTCCTTTTAAAAATACTAAAATAATAGACAATACAAGCATAAAAACAAATAAAAGTTTAGATAAATAATTCAATTCATTGTCTAATTAACCAAATTTGCAAACTGCACTTCTAGAGTTTAATGCTACTCGAGTTTCTTTTCCTGTATATATAACTATACCCCATATTTTACCTGATGCAAGTACAGTATTTGACCATAAACTGTTTTCTAAACTCAAACATTCTCTCAAATTTTAATTTTATTCTTTACATATATATAATCCTTAAAATTTATAAATGTTCTCAATAGGAGCTCCAATTTAAAATTCACCTTTAGATTCAAAAATACCTTATATACCTTTTTAATGAAATAAACTTTAACTTTTAAAAACAGGCTTTCTTAATTTCCAATCAGTTTCACCATCTAATTAATCTGTTTTTATAAATACATCTCCTGAAATATCACTTTAAAAAATAATAAATATATAAATATATAAATATATAAATATATAAATATATAATTATATATACTTATACATTAATTATATATAATTTTTTTATTAAATTTGCAATTTTTTATTTTTTCTATATTATTTTAAATAATCTAATCTTATAAAAAAAGGCTTTATTAAAATGATTTTGCCTTTTTTTATGATTGATATTAATATAAATATAAAAATAAATATTTCTATACTAAAATTATTCAATTTAATTTTTACTTTGTAGATAAAAGTATCATATCTGCAGGAATTCTTTAATTTGCCTAAACTTAAACTATATGCCCTACTTTCAGTTCTGAGCTTTTTAATGAAATTAATTATCCTTCTTTTTATATTACCCTATATATTTTTATTAAAAAAATTAATACTTTTTTATATATATTTTATACATATATTCTTAACTGTTAGCTTCTTTGTCTCTTTTAAAACGTTTATAATCATCATATGCTTCTTTTAATATAGTTAAAAATAATACTAATGATAAAGGTGCTACATAACTAAATAGAAGACCTACTTTTAAAACTGGTATAAATTAAGATATAGCTATTAATAAGAAAAATAGATTAAAGAAATATTTAAATTCATTATATAGGACTATTGGTATTAAAGTTATTGTTGTATATTTTTAATTTTTTATAATATTTTTGAAATAATTCGGGGGACTAACTGTTCCATCAATATTTATTATTCTATGTTCTTAAGAAATTTTAATCCCAAAAAAATATTAATATAATTTTTAATACCACTTTAATTACTAGATTTATATTTTTTTATAATAATATAAAAAAAACATATAAATTGTAATATTTTTATATATTAAAATCATTTATTTAAATTTATTTTTTATTGTTTAAATTTACATTATCTAATTCTTATATATTATTTTCTTGTAGAAGTTACTTTTTTAGATTTTTAGATTCTGTTAGTTCTTTTATTTAATTATCGTTTGTAGCTAAAGTTATTTCAAAGGTATCATTATTTTAAGTTTAATTCATATTTTTTTTTAATAATTTTTATTTATTTATTTTTAATAGTTAAATTTCAAGAATAATAAATTTAATAAATAAGATTTTTTTTATTAAAACATATAAACATTATTTTGTTTTTTTCAATAATTAACAAAATGGACAAACAATAATAAAATATTTTATTTAATATATATTTTATTAAATATACCTTATAATTAAAATATATAAAATCATAATTAATTTAATTCATCTTTAATTTTATATAAAAACTAACTACATTCAAATAGTTATTATTTTTATTTTTATAGAATTTTACTTTTAAGTATTTTAAGTGCATTATTATTTATTTTTTTTTAATTAGGTAAAAATTTATCAATATATTTTATTTTAACATCTTATATATCTTAAGAAACATTACAAATATTTGACTAATTATATTTAGAAGTATTTATAGAAATTAAATAGGGATTTGTTTAAGAAAAATTATACTCAAAAGAATTTCTTTAATTTTATAATTATTAACTATTGATATTTTCTTTTTATGTATCTTTTTTAATATTGTATCTATGATATTTATAATTTTTATAACAATTGTAATTATTGATATTAACACAATCATTATCTTAATTAATATTAAATTTACTATCATAATCTTATTTATTATTATATTATTATTGATTATTTTAAATATTATTTTATTACATTATATTTTTTGATTATGTAAATTATTTTTTACATTAATTATTTTAATTATTTTTTTATAAAATTTAACACTATTTATTATAAACGTTTTATTAGTTTTCGCAAGAAAAATCAAATAATTAAATTCTTGAAGATTCAAAATTTTTATATCTAAATTAATTAGAATTTCTATAACAAGAAAAATTCAAATGATTATTATAAATATTATTATTATTATTATTATTATTATTATTATTATTATTATTATTTATATCTTAATTAGTATTATTATTTATATCTTAATTAGTATTATTATTTGCATTATTATATATATAGTTCATATTTTTTCTTTCTATTTCCGATATATCAAATTCATTATTTTTGCTTTCTATATTTTTCTTATATTTTTAAAAACTTTTTCCATATATATTTTAAAATTTGTCACTTTCGATTTCTATTGTTATTGATTTGTTATGTTATTAATGCTTATTATTTTTATATTTCTTATTGCTTTTTTATATTTCTTAAATATCATAATTTAAACTTCTTTATCTCTTTTATAATGTTTATATATATTATTTTTGATTTTAAATACTAGACATTTTTACAATTATTTAATTTGTATTTTTTATTATTTTTTTATAAAAAATTTGATGATTGATGATGGTTAAGTTCGCTATATTTTTTTAAAAATAATAATTAAAAAATTAAATTCTTTTTAATTTTTTTTATTAAAAATTCAAATATTTTAATTTATAATAAAAATAAATATTATATAAGTTATTTTATAAATATAAATTCTTAAAATATAAAAAAATATTTTTTTATTTTATTTTTAAATATTATAAGAAATTGCAATAATAATTAATATATATAAAATTAAGCTTTAATATATATATATATATATTTAATATAATATATTTATTTTTTCAAAATGTCTTATTAATAAATATAACAAGAGTACAATAATTTTTTATTTTATAATTTAATTATTTTAAATAAATAAAGGAATTTGATTTTTGATCCTGATGATACTATAGAATTTTTAAAAGACTAGAATATACTCAACGAATATTCATCAAATTTAAAAATTATAAATAATACAGCAATATTTCTATTATTTTAAGTATTTATTGATTTTACTTATATATTTTATAAAAATTTAATAAAAATAAGTTCGATTAAATAGAAAACGGTTTTATTTTCGAACCTAAATATGGATATATAAATCCAAAATAGGAACTAAATATAAGAATAAAGACTGAATTAGTAAAAATAAAATAAATAAAATTATATAAATAAAAAAATTAATAAATAAAGGAATTTGATTATGGTAATTTTAATTAAAAAATAAGTTTGAAATATTCGCTTATTAGACAAAATGAAATAGTATAAATATTTAGCAATATATTTTTATTTATTTTTTTAAAAAAGAAGATTATTGACAAAAATCATATTTAAAATTATTTTGATTAAAATAAATTATATTAATATAAAAATTTCTAAATTTCAACTTGTGAATATTAGTCTTTTGCAAGTTTCGAATTATCATAAAGTATGTTTGAAAGAAATTACAAAGCCCAACAATTACAATAAAACTAAAATTTATCGGTATAACATTATTAATAATCTTAATTTGTATCATTTGCAAATTAAACTTAATAATAAATTGCATTTTATGAAAAATAAAATATCGAATATTAATAATTGAATTAAAAAATTGATGATAATATTTAGAAATAATAAACAAGTTTAATTGATACTGAACAATTCGATTTATCTGATAATTAATAGGAAAACAAATAATTAACATGTTCTAAGTTAGATGTTTTTGAATAATTAACTAAAAATTAAGGTTATAATGATAAAAATAATAATTATAATCAAAATTTATATAAAAGAAAGTATTAAGCAATATTTTTTAAAAATAAAAAGAAAAGGATTATAGTGATCAAAAAGAAACTAATCATGATTATGATTTTTAATAAACATAAAAATAATCAAAAACAAATTAGTAAAAATTTTCGTCTTTAATATATTATTAAATATATATATAATTATTTAAAGGTTAGATTTATTATTAATTAAAAATGAAGAATTTGAAAGCCCATTAGGTTAAAATAAAAAAGACATAAAAAATTCAAATTTTATAACTCTTGATAAGTAGATTTTAATATGCAATTCTATTTTTTTTTTTTAAATTATTAATATTTATATAATAGATTTTAATAAAATTAGTCTAACTATAATAATTAATCATAAATTATTTTTTGGAAAGATAAATATGAATATATATATAAAAGAGAATAATAATTTGGCAAAAATATAAATGAATAAATGTAAAAACTTTAGGATTTAAAATCTGAAATCAACAAATTAGAGTTTGTTCATAGGATTGAAAAATCTTCTAATTTAAAAATGTAAAATAAAGGTAATTCATATTATTAATTTTTTCATTAAATCAATTATTTTATTTTTATTTATTAATTTAATATATTTAATAGTTAAAATAAAAAATATATATATATATTTAAATTTTTTTTTTTAAATAATGAAAATATATTTATTTTTACTAATAAAGCATCATAAAATGGAATATCTTTATTGAATTTAATTTTTCTTAGTATAATATCGATTTTTATAGGCTCCATAATAAAAAAATTAAAAGGATGAATGTTTTATAAAATAAAAAAATATAATATAAATCATTTTTTCCAGTTTTTATTAAATTAGAGATAATTATTAATATTTTTATAAATAAATGTACATTATATTGAGTTAAAAACTTTTAATAAATAAATTTAAAATATAAAAATGTTTTAATATATATAAAAATACTTACTATATATAAGAATAGTAATATATTAATTATTTTTTGATATTTAATTTATTAATTAATTATTCTCCATTATTACAAAAAATGGAAAAAATAAAATAAAAAAAATTCTAATTTTTTTTTATTCAATTCTTACTATAATATAACTAAAAAATATAATTTTATAGGAAAATAAAATAGAATTTATATTAATTTTTAAATGACTAAAATAATAATTTCTATATATATATATCATAAAATATTATAAATAAATATAAAATAATATATTTTTTTTTTTAATATAAAAAAATAAATTAGCATTAATTAAATATATTAATTATTATCCAAAACATATTTTTGTTTTGTTTCTAAATTTTTATAATAATAAAATATAACAAAATAATGACAGAAATTTAATATTTTTCAAATAATTATATAAATACTGAAAATTTTAATTTTTTTTTTTATAACCTGATCTTTTAGAATAAATAAATTAAAAGGATGAAAAAACGCTATAAATGTAATATTTTTAATATTAAAATTGCGCAAAAATATTAAAGTTTAACTTAGATTATATTAAACTGAGTTTATAAAAAAAATGGTTAAATTCATTTCAAACTATAAATAGAATTAAAGTCAAGAAAATCAAAAATAATAGGAGTATATAAAAAAAACATTAAAATCAATCATTTAAATCCTTTTTTATTTTTAAAATATTTTATTTTATTAAATAAATAAAAAATAGGATTTTGTAAAATATAATAAATATTTTTTGCATGGAAAATAATTAAGAATTTATATTTATATTTTTTGGTGAAAAACTTGTTAAATAAAACACTTTTTCAAATATTGAAAGTGATGAAAAAATAACTAGTTCATAATATGTAAAATATAATGGAATTTAATAAAGTGAAAATATATTTCCTTTATTTTTTAATATATTTTTATCAGATAATATTTCTGATACATGTATATAATATAGTTTTAGATAAATCTTTTAGTAATTAATGAATATTAAACCATAAAAAGTAAATAAAAAAAAAAAGTAAAATTAAATATATAAAAAAAAAGATTTAACAATATATATTACAAGAAAATGATTTTTCTTAAAATATATTGCAAAGTATAGATAATGAAATAGTTGCCCAAACTCTAGAATAAATATTATTTTATACATTCAAAAATTACAATTAATATAATTAAGATTATTTAGATTTAATGTGTATAAAGGTAAAATATTTTCTTTAAGAAACGATAAAGCATTTATTAAAAACACAAGACGAATATTAATTTAGAAACATATCTTATATAATAATAAAAAATATAATA